AAGCATTTCGTTCACCAAACAATCGAACTTGTTACCACACTTTTTCGGAATGCTAAAACGTTTCAGTAGGTCTTTTGGGACTTCGCTGTGCCGTTCGTGGTAGTGTTTATATATTGAAGATGCCTTTCGTTTATGTTCATCCACGCGCGTGTGTAAGTGTCCGCGTGTATAGCCCACATAACCCGCCTCACACAGGTCACATTGAAATTGATAAACGACGCTTTGGCGATCTGTGGCTTGATTTCTCGTACTTTAAGATCTTGGCCAACTTTGCGGCTAACAAATAGCCGAAATATACCCTGATAACTCGAACTTGAAGTGAAAACGTGGGTCGATAAACAGCAAAGTGTTAGAATGAACCAGGTGTACGAAAATGACTGTTAATTGTGCAAGAATGGTAAAACACGATTCCTTATCAACCATTAACAGGATAATTGACATATGCATTCAGCACCACCCCCTCGAGAGTTTGATTTACGGAGGTTCTACTACAATTCTTTCCGATATTTCAACACAAGACAATGGACCCCTGCATATGGTCCTTGGTAGGTTGTGTGTGAGTGTTAGGACGGTAAGTCTGGAAAAAGAGTTTTCAACTGACAAGTACAACGAAAATAGTTGGTGGAAGGGAATAGAGCTTTTGAATAAACTTGTCAAAGATTAGAAAATTCAGTTATGCACATAAAGTTATTTCTAAGAAAAACGGGTAACTTATGAGGCAATGAAAGAATTTAGTCAAATTAGTGTTCCTTGAGCAGAGAAATTGTCTTGACTTCAATGATCAATCATGTACACATATATGTGACCTAATTTTGGAGTTACACTGACAATTTATGATTTCGTCCAGCTGTCATTGGCATTCATTGCTTATGATGTAATCACCAAGAATTTTGTCCTGATTCAAGTATTGTTCTCTTGTGTACTAGATACTTGTTATATTTCTTGTCACTTCTCGCTTTAGAACTTAAAGGTTTATAATAGTGGCTATTCTTAAAAGGTTGATGCAATAAACACCCGCCCTACCCCCGAGAAGTCATTCAGACATTTCTCGTGTTATGTCTAATCGCATAGACTTCCAGTTGACCACTTAAGGTTACCGGGCACCTTCATATGGGTATCCAAATTTACTGCGCATTGTGTTTGCTTTCTTGTTTCTCCAAAATTATCACTTTTCGTAGGCACGTGTTACACGTAATTGTCAATGGGTTAAATTTTTTATTTCCCATTGTTCCACACCTAGTATCAGACATTATCATACCCAAAAACAAAGGAAAAGAACATCTAAACAAAGGATAAATTTAAACCACAACATAAAATTGTGTCGAACAAATAACTTTTGACGTACAGTGAGTGGTCAGTAGTTTTAGGCTTATGAAGAAATTGTCATTCTAAATTATGCGAACTGAATAAAGGCTGATAGTTTCGAAAATTTGGAAATTTGTTCGGAAGCCTTTTAACTACCTTTACAAATAAAAATGTTTGGCGAAAGCTTTCTCTTTAATTTGAAGAATCCGAATGATTTAGGACTACAATTACGAGTGTAATTACGGGAAAATCCTTCATGAAGGATTGTAGCTTAAAGGTCAAACAGGGATTGTCACTCACTAAATTGGCTCGCCATTAAGTCTTGTGATCGCCTTCGTATGAAATTGTTTTTTATGTTGTTGTTCTTGTTGAGTCCGCGTTTTACTAGTCTGCGTTTTACTAGTCAGCGTT